CAGGGTTGATTCTTTCGGAACTTCCTGTTAAATAATCGAAGGAAACAGACGGAATCCACAAGAGAGTCCGCGCCATGGAATTCTGGGTTTGCCCATTACGGTTTCAAAGGATATGAGACATCGTTTACTGAATGCAAAGGAAACTTGGCAGCATTCTGGTCGGGGGACTCTCTTCTCGGAGTGGAGGACAGCAATAAAAAGTGCACTGATTCTTTCGGAACTTCCTGTTAAATAATCGAAGGAAACAGACGGAATCCACAAGAGAGTCCGCGCCATGGAATTCTGGGTTTGCCCATTACGGTTTCAAAGGATATGAGACATCGTTTACTGAATGCAAAGGAAACTTGGCAGCATTCTGGTCGGGGGACTCTCTTCTCGGAGTGGAGGACAGCAATAAAAAGTGCACAATGGCTTGCTGTGGGCTCACACAGAGCTTCTGGCTGGTATTTATTTGTGTAGCAGCAATACAAGCACTTTGGTGTTGTGGCTAGTGGACGAAGCACCTGGCTAGGAGCCAAAAGGGGGTTGTGTTCTATTCCTGACACTAGCCTTGTGCAATTCCCTTCTCCTGCCTGACGCAGAGGTGAGTGTGTGTGGAAAGATGCGCATCATGGTAGTGGAAACCCCCCTCTTGGGGTGAAGGCTGGTTTTGTGGGGTGGCATCACATTGCAGGCAGGGGTTCTAAGTGTGGACACCCCCAAGAAGTGTTGAAAGCTGCCGGAGGCAGGGAAATTCTAAGGCCAGACAGGACTGTAGGGCATATGTAAGCGGGGGAATGGTCCCGCTATGGTGGGGAACTTTCCTGTCTTCTATACACCCCGGTGAAATAAACCAGCGAAAGGATCTGAGTCCCCGCTCCCACTTCCTTTACCCCACGGCTCCCTGATCCTGAGGGCTCCCCCTCCACTCTCCTGAGTAGCAGAGCCCTTGAAACCCCAACAAGGCTGGGCCCAGGTTTCCTGGGGCTTAATCCCTGACCTTGTAGTCACTAGGGGCAGGAGTTAGGGTGTCCCCACTCCGAGGTGCTCTCTTTACACTGCAGGCCTTCTTGGCCCAGTGATCACTTCATAAGGTTCAAAGCAAATACAATTTATTAAACATCAACTGATTAAAGAGAAAAGAATAAGACAAAATGAGAATGGTTAAATGAGAACACACAGCCCTGCTCTGTAGCACAGGGACATCAACACAGCAGTCTGCAGAGTGTAAGGACAGTTCACAGTCTCTTCCTTAGAAGCCCTGGATGTGCTGCAAGGGGCTGCAGGCTGGACACGCTTGCACTGGCAGTGACCACACAGCCTCAGTCTCTAAGTGGCCAGACCCCTCTCCCAGTCCAGAGCCTTTCCCCACACTTTGCAGGTCCCAGTAGCTCACCACATCCAGCTGCAGGCTGTGCTGCTTGGCCAGTTCCAGCTCCTTGTGTTGTTTCTCTGTTCCTTTTGGCTTTCTGAGCACTGCCAGTCTGCTGCTCAACACAGGGTCTGCACTGCTTGGCCTGTCTGTGTCTGGTTCTGTCGCTGCAGGACTTCTTCTTGTACTCCTCTTTCAGATCTCTGTCTTTGCAGGACCTCTCCTGCACACAGCTCGCTCTGCTCTTTCAGCTCCCTGTTTGCTCAGAGAGAGAGCCAGAACAACCCCCACTTACAACCTGTCAGTCAGGCTGAGCTGGAGTGTTGACTGCTTTCCATTGTCTCTGGGGTCTGTCAGTCTCATGAACCCTTCCCCTTCTGAAGCTGGTAAACCAAAAAACTCCCACAGAGTTTTAGTAAGGGGTAACAGTCCCCTTACACATAGAACACCCCCAAAATATTTTTTCAAGAATTGCCTGTTCTAGACAAACATCCTGTCTTGGTGTAAAAATGGTCAGTGATGGAAAATCCACCATTTTTGTCCCCACTAGTGATGCTCACTGTTGACTGTGCCTTAGTTTTGGTTTGAAGTTGTCTAGTTTCACCGTCACGCCCCAGGAGGATGATAGAACTTTCACTGCGGTGTTGGAGAGCCGGGTGTTCAATGCTTGTTCCCCATGGAGATAGGTACAAGCCGTAGTCGTCACCCTTTGCCTTCCCTTTGCTAAGCAACACTGATTGAGTCTGTCCCCGCCGGGCAGGGTTTCTAATCCGTTAATCATTATTGTGGCTCTTCTCCGATCCGTCTGTAGACCTGGACACAGGAGTCCAGCAGCGGTCACAGCGGTACCAGATACAGAGGGAAAATAACCTCTGAACCCCCACAGTACACAGCCCAGCTGATTGTCCACCCAGACACTTTTCGGAGTCCCAGGAGACAGTTCCCCAGCCCGTAGGCCCTGGTCCAAGGTGGCACATCGACACCGAGCCAGATTAAAACACACACTTGTAGACCTGGACACAGGAGTCCAGCAGCGGTCACAGCGGTACCAGATACAGAGGGAAAATAACCTCTGAACCCCCACAGTACACAGCCCAGCTGATTGTCCACCCAGACACTTTTCGGAGTCCCAGGAGACAGTTCCCCAGCCCGTAGGCCCTGGTCCAAGGTGGCACATCGACACCGAGCCAGATTAAAACACACACTGCCCTGTATCCCTGCCGGTGGCCTGCACCCTGACACAGCCCCTATTCCCTCCCCTTGTTAGGGCAGGCCCATGATACATAGTGAGTGGGGGGCAGGAGCTTCGCACCTTGACACGCCCATCGGGGGCTTTCCGGGCCAGGCTGCAGGACAGGTGTTTCTTAGCGGGCTGGGGAGGGGAGTGTCCTTCACTCCACCAGCTCCTGGCATTCAGCCCCCCAGGATACAGCCTTTCCCTAAGCCACGGTCCAGTGTCTGGTGTAAAGAAAAGTTATTTATTAGTTCCCAAAATAGAAGAACTAGAGGACGCCAAATGAAATTAATGGGTAGCAGGTTTAAAACTAATAAAAGAAAGTTCTTCTTCACACAGCGTGTAGTCAACCTGTGGAACTCCTTGCCAGAGGAGGCTGTGAAGGCTAGGACTATAAAAGAGTTTAAAGAGAAGCTAGATAATTTCATGGAGGTTAGGTCCATAAAAGGCTATTAGCCAGGGGATAAAATGGTGTCCTCGGCCTCTGTTTGTCAAAGGCTGGAGATGGCTTGATCATTGTCTTCGGTCCACCCTCTCTGGGGCACCTGGTGGTGGCCACTGTCGGCAGACAGGATACTGGGCTAGAAGGATCTTTGGTCTGACCCAGGCCGGCCGTTCTTATGTTCTTATGGCCTGCAGTGGATCAGGACAGAGGCCAGCACCCGAGCCCAGAGCTCCTGGGTGCCCCTGGACCACAGCAGTGCCCAGCCAGACTGCAGGGGCTGCCCTGCGGTTTGGGAGCCAAACAGGCCGTCCTTGACGCTGACCGGCTCTGAGTGACGTCAATGGCAGCGTCCCAGCCGGCGCCACGGTCCAGTGTCTGGGGTAAAGTGCCTGGGAGTCTCCCCCTGAGATCTCAGGGCCTTGCTCGCTGCCGTCGCTTTAAGAGCAGCCCGGTCCATTGGCGCCAAGGCTGCCAGGAGCCTGGCACTGTGCGGTTCCTTGCATTTCCATGGCCCACTTTAACGCCTCCTCCCCCAGCCCGGCAGGGAGGCCGAGAGAGGAGCCAGCTCTCCAGAGGGGCCTTTGCACATGACCCTCTGCACAGATGTGGCCGTGGATTAAGCTCTAGATTAAGGCTTTAGGACAAATTCCCGGGCACAGCAGCCCGCCGCCCCGCTAGCTCTGGCATTAGGCGAGGGGGGCTGGGAGGGACAGAGCCAGCCCAGGCTCCCCCGGCACATGAGATCCGTAGCCCGCCTTCGCCAGGGCTCGCTGCTCTGAAAGCCACCCCAGGTAAGAGCGGCTGGACTTGGACGGTCTATGAGTGGGGAGTGCCTGCTTCGGGGGCTAGTGGGCCGAGGGTTTCCCCGTGGGGGGAACTGGCTTTCCCATCCTACTGGGCCAGGCTCCCAGGGGGTGGAAGGTGCATCTGGCTCAGCAGACCTGGAGTACTGGGGCTGATGGTCCCTGCAGGGGCTGCTGCGGATGGGGTGTGAAGCGCCCAGTTGTCTGGCCTCACAGAGCAAACTCCTGCCCATCCGACTGGCCTGGGGAAGGCAGGGCACCTGAGAACCACGCCTGTGGCTCAGGGAGATGACAGACGCCTGAGCCAGCGGTGGGGGCACTCACGTGGGACGTGGCAGAGCTGGATTCAAGTCCCGGCTTTGCCAGGCTTCCTGTGTGACCTGGGGTGCTGCTCCGTGCCTCGGTTTCCCCTCCATGCAATGGGGCTCCCAGCACTGTCCTGCCGCACAGAGGGGAGGGGAAGCCCCGAGACACTGACACGGAGGTCCCAGCGACCCGCGCGGTGCAGAATAGCACAGGTGAGACGTTAGTGCACGCGGCTAGGACAGGGCCATGTGACAGCGCCGGTGCGACGCCAGCAGCTTGCTGACGAATCACCCCAGGGCAGCGGCCGCTGCTGCCAGGCTGGCTCTGTCCCCCGAAGTGCCCCCGTTCCAGTGCGGGCGAGCCTGGGCCCAGTGCCCATGCAGGGCGGGGTGGGGGGGATGTCAAAGCAGGACCGAGTCCTGCTGGAGCACCAAGGCTGCTTGTGCTCTCTATACACAGACAGGCACCGAGAAAACAGCCAGGGACCCTGCATGGCAGGGCACAGGCGGGGGGGCACATGGCT